AGAGGGTCGTGGTTGGTGGTGCAGAGTCTGGCTGGAGACCTGTAACCAGTGGTGTCCCCCAGGGATCTGTGCTGGGTCTGATCTTATACAACCTTGATGAGGGGATAGTGGCCACCCTCAGCAAGTTTGCTGATGATACGAAGTTGGGAGGATTGGCTGACATGCCTGAAGGCTGTGCTGCCATTCAGCGAGACCTGGACAGGCTGGAGAGCTGGGCAGTAAGAAACTGGATGAGGTTCAACAAAAGCAATTGTGGAATCTTACACCTATGGGAGGAATAATTGCATGCACCAGTACAGGTTGCGGGATGAGCTGCTGGAGAGGAGCTCTGCAGAGATGGACCTGGGTGTCCTGGTGGACGACAGGTTGGCCATGAGCCAGCAGTGTGCCCTTGTGGCCAAAAAGGCCAATGGCATCCTGGGGTGCATTAAAAAGAGCATGTCCAGCAGGTCAAGGGAGGTGATCCTCCCCCTCTACTCTGCCCTGGTAAGGCCTCATCTGGAGTACTGCGTCCAGTTCTGGGCTCCCCAGTACAAAAAGACAGGGATCTCTTGGAAAGAGTCCAGCGGAGGGCCACAAAGATGGTGAAGGGCCTGGAGCATCTCTCCTATGAAGAAAGGCTAAGTGAGCTTTAGTCTTGAGAAAAGAAGACTGAGAGAGGACCAGATCCATGTCTATAAATATCTAAGGTGTGGGGGGCAGAGTGGTGAGGCCGGACTCTTTCAGTGCTGAGTGGAGACAGGACAAGGGAAACTGCAGCATAGGAAGTTCCGCACAAATGTGCGAAGGAACTTCTTTACAGTGAGGTGACGGAGCACTGGAACAGGCTGCCCAGGGAGGTGGTGGAGTCTCCTTCTCTGGAGATGTTCAAGACCTGCCTGGATGCCGACCTGTGCGACCTGCTGTAGGGAACCTGCTTTGGCAGGGGGTTGGACTCGATGATCTCTGGAGGTCCCTTCCAACCCCTACAATTTTGTGATTCTGTGATCATCCCTGAAGGTATTAAGGAAGTGTGTAGATGTGGTACTAAGGGACATGCTTTAGTGTGGAAATGTTGTTTGTAAGTGGACATTTGGACTGGATGATGTTGGAGGTCTTTTCCAAGCTTGATGATCCTGTGATTCTGTGAGTAGTAAACATCTGCACTAGTGGAGGTAACCCATTGTCACAACTCCTGAAATGCACCACCCACCACCTCACTGAGCTCACATCAACTGTTTGGACATTTGTTCAGCAAACACTGATAAATGTCAATAGGTGTTTTTCTTTTTTTCCCCCATGGAGGAATTCAGTGACATGCCTTTGCCTTATACACACTTCTACGTCATATGCCGCTTTGTCAGATTGCAGCTATGATACCATCTGTCACATGGCAACAAAATGTAATGGAATAATAGTGGGAAGGTTCAGCCTGTTCAGACATACCACCAACATCTGTTTCTAGTACTGTGGGCCAACTTAATGAAATACAATGCATTACTTTTGGAAGAATTCTTGTATGTATGTATGTGTATCCTTTTCTCACTAAAATACAATTTTGCTGTTTATTTTCACGTGACTTAATTATAATTCCTTTTTAACATTAAAAATTATGTCTCAGCTCTGGTAGTGAGAGTAGTATTCATTGTGTGTTTGCTTTACTTTCTGTTGGGAGAGGAGGCAGCAGGTAGAGCTGCTTTGAATCAGTTTAGGATCACACAAAAAATGTAGAAGTCATGATTTGGTAATGAAGGAATTGCCCCTTTCTGAGGCAGTCTCCAAATAGAGATGCTTCTCTTGTGATTGCCAGCCCTTAAATCAGGCTAGGGAGGGGTGTGTGACCCCTTGCGGTTGCTCAGATAAATTGCTTCCACCTGTGCTCCCAGGTCTGGCTATGCCCCTTCACCAGCTGCTCAATCACTGATTCAACTGACCTAGCAGTTCCCGTACATTTGAGCAGCTGAGAAACAATGCAGACTGTCCATGACTACTTACATAGTGTTGTTAGTTAACTTAGTCCCTCGGAAAATCTAGCTGATAGAGTGAAATTTGATTTTTAATATATGTGATTAATAATAGACACACCTTATTTGCTGAGTTTTCTGGAGTCATGTGGAAATGACTCCCAGGAAAAAAATATGAAATTAATACTGCCTTCAGCATTGTCTGAATGGCTGTTCCTTTCTAACGTATCTGCAACTTCCTTGACATTGTAAAGATACTGGAATTCCATTATTATGATGTTTATTATGATTCTGATATTTGTTTCTGAATGTGATAATGAGTTTTTACTACTTTTTACAGATAAGTTTTTTGAGTATATTTTTTAAGATATTTGCATGCCCATAGGTGGACACTTCAGGAAGAGTGAACTGTAATTTAATGTTTTGAATGAGAATGTGAGATTTTTCAAAATAGATGTAATACAATGTACAATACAATGTACATTTTTGTTAAAAATAATTGTTAGAATAGTTATTGATAATGTTTGTACTTCTTGTTATCATTTTCTTTTTCCCAAGAGGTTTGGTGGGACTGTGCAGTGTTATATAGTGCCTGATTTGCCCTGTTTAGGGCAAATTTTTGTAAATTTGTATACCCATATGACCAGGGATTTAAATTCTTTAGGATATCCAAAACATGGAAGGAAGACCTTCTTGAACAGTTTCTTTTATAATGGCATCCAGCAATTAATTCACAGTCTTCGGCAAACTGATGTGGTGAGTTGTATTCCCAGATTTTGGGGACAAGGAGATCTTGGAGTAAGCTAGGGAAGGAAGAAAGTACTTTCTTGGGATTAAATTACTCAAATGGAAACAAGTCTATTTTTCTACTTTGATAATATGACTTTGAGCAAGTACTCAATTGATCTGTAGTTCGGTCATTGATTAATACACTGGGAAAACGTCCCACGCCTTACTGCAGTTCTAAAAATAACCAAGGGATTTAAGGATGCCCAGACAATATTGTAATAAAGTATTAGAACAAAAGTGACTCAAACGAGCATTCAGGGAATATCTTTTAATATGCCTCATTTCAATATATGATTGTCTCATGTTAGCCTCATATGCTTTTCTGGTTGCAGTTATTGCTTTACTTTTTTTCCCCCCTCCTCTTATTTAAGAAATGGATGTCATCTGTATTTACCTCTCACTTATCTGGGAGGGGAGACAGAAGTGATAGGTTTATGACTCAGTGGGATACTTTTAAGACTTAACTTGTATGATTTGTCTTTAAGGGGCCCTTCTTCATAGGAAAATTACAAAATATGTTTTAATGTTAATTGGGAATTCGTTATAATATTGATGATGGTAAATAAAGAGAGTTGCTGCTATTGAAAAAACATACTTTTGCTAAGGACCTTATTTTTTAGTTAAAGAAATAGGTTTGAGATGGCAATGTCTTTGCCTCATTCAAACTTTGGATATGCAAGTGTAGTAGTCTTAGAGCTTAAAATCAAAACCAGGTTAACTGGCTTTTTGTCACTTTAAAACATGGTGCTGATTTTGCTTTATCTATGTGTATGAACATACGATGTATTTGAATTTGGAATATTCCTGAAATACAAGTTGCAGCAGTAGAAAAATGCTGCAGTTGGAAGCACGTAGGAATTCCTGCTTGAATGCTCATTAAGGGCTGTTGCAGTTGTGTTGGTGAATTTAGTTTGGCTTTAGAGAACAAAGTAATGAAGGTTTTCTGGATCAGCCAGGCTCTCCTCTTTCTTGATAAGGGTTAATTGAACTTCGGGAGCAAGCAAGAGCAAAGTGTGCTCTCCTGCTTGGGTTTAACCATTTTCATTTGAACTTCAGACATGGCAGCTGTTGAATGGAAGACTTCGTTTTCAAATTGGTAGCTGCAGAAGGAGCAGGAGCTCAGTTTAACAATCTGCGTGTGTGTAGGCACTTACATTTGGGAGGAAGGGAAGTGGGATTAAACACTAATAGTTCATCACTTTGAGATGATGTTTCTATGAAGGAAATAGTGTGTGCTGAGAAAACAAGACAGGCTCCTAAAGTGACTAGGGGAGCCAGAGTATAAAGAGATGGTTCTTGCAGAGTTTGGTGTTGTGGTGGTAAATACGCAGGCAAATACTGAGTTTCTGGTAGATTGATGGCAACACTGTGGGCCTTTTTGTTTGGGATAAAGGGAGCTCCCTTTTTCTCTTTCATTCCTGGTGCCAGTGTTAGTCCATTGCCTTCTTTTCACTTGCCTTGGATTCTCCAGATGAAAAACAAAATCCTGACCTTAGCAAGACTGGATCAATTTCTGATGTTTAGAATTCAGGAAATTGTAATACATTCAGGAAATAATTGCCTAAAAGATTACTATCTGGATAAACTTCTTGGGATTTTTCGTGCCTGTTAAGCTAAGGGAGAAGGAATAAGGACAAGCAAGTGGTGCTCCTTGTGAGACACAGATCAGTGTATATGGAATCAGTCATTGAGCCAGCTGATCTCTAACTGGACTAAGGGAGTTATAAATATGTGATCAAAGCTGTGTAGCCTAGCACTAGTTTCTGTCTTGAGAGAGAGTTTCTGTATGTTTTTTTATTTTAAAACAGAAGTTCAGATATATTTTTGCTAGCATTCTCTCTGTGTGGCTTCATTGTCTGTATTGGAATTACTAGTCTTAGCTATGATAGCTCTTCTTGCTTTAAGAAGTTTCTCAAAGCAGGCTACCTAGATATGGAAATAGTGCATTATTTTGCTTGATTATATGTTAGCACTTTGCATACAAATGTGAAATTTGTGCATGCCTTAGGTAATTTAAGATGCAACCTTTCTGACCATGTAATAGCGTTAGGGCCAGATTTTTACTTCTTAAAATACATCATTTCTGTTGAACACTGAAATGTTCAACACTGGAAAACTTAAATCCGTTTTTTTCTTTCTAAAACTCAGTAGCTAATTGACTGCACTAGTATGTTTCTTTTAGCACTCCTGAAATTGAAATAATTACTTGTGTGGATATTGTATATTTTTCTGTATTATAACAGTGATACAATTTTTCTTTCCCTCCAGGAATTGTGGTGCTTGGGTTAAACAGATCTCATGCCAAGAATGCACTTAACAAAAATCTTTTAAAAATGGTAAGTGAAAAGAACAGTTTCTAATATGAAGGTGAAATACTGGAATTAAATACTTTTAAAAGTGTTTGGTTATTCCCCTCCCTCCTTTTCTCTTTAGATGTCAAAAGCTGTGGATGCTTTGAAATCTGATAAGAAAGTACGAACTGTTATATTCCGAAGTGAAGTCCCAGGGATATTCTGTGCTGGTATGCAAACTTAATTTTCCTGAGAAGCTGGAAATCTGTATCTAATTTTTTGCAGACACACAGACCCACTTATACAACACACACAGAGATATGTACATGAAAAAAAAGAAAAGAAAATGGAAGAAGAGAAAGAGAAGTGAAAAAAAAGCCCAGATTCCAAGGAAACTTGTCTTATGTATGTGTTCATCTCAGTAGCAAATACAGTGGTTTTATATGATTTTCCTCAATTGTTAACAAGATCTGAATATCTGTTTTATTCTTTCTGTGTCATAAAGTGTTTCAAAAACTAGTTTGCTATGAAATCATTTAACTGAGCTTTTACAAATTGTTGCACGTACTTCATGTAGAGGACCAAAAACTGCTAATAGCTGTATGGAAAGCTGTATAAAGAACATATTTTGAATACATTAAAATCAACTTTAAATTAAATAAACAAAATTCATTATGAAATGTAATCTTACTGAAACTGAGTATAAAAAAACAAAGCATACACGCAGCCCAAATGTAAAAATGCCTTACCAAGCAGTAAAAATGCCTTACCAAAGTTGTAAGAAAGCAAAAGCTACGAACAGCCATAAGCTGGGAACAAGAATTTGGGAATTTGTCAACATATCAAAATCAGTGGAAGCAGACATGTATTTTGTAGATGAATAGTGTCTTTATATTCAGATGTCCAGTACAATTCAATTTGTTCAAATTGAATCTTAATAAATTTCAAATGGTTAAATAAATCCATTTCTTCTTTCTAGTATAGGAATAGAACTGTCAGGATAGAGAAGATAAGTTCTAAAATTTTAGAGTTCTCTGCTGTGTTTACTAACCACACATAGCATAATTAATTCAATTTTAAATGCAAAACCTTGTGTCCAGTTTTTACTTGAGTAATGTGTGTAAGTAATTCTTGTGTAGTTTAACTTTTTATTGTTATTAGTTTTAATAACTATTTTCATTCAGCTGCAGTGTGCTGCTTATAGGGTTTCCGTAAAGAATCATTTTGAAAAAACGGAGTAGTCCATATGGCATTTAGTAATACATGACAGTATGATAATCAATGTATTTCATTTAAAAGTTGCATCTTGATTTTGAAGGAAGTTGTAGACATTAGTAACTAACAGTAATCTTTGGGAAAAAGTTAAAAGCTGCCTTTTTTAAACTGAAGAAGAGTGGTGAGTGTTCAGAGGAACACACGCAAATGGTGTTTTCAAGTTAGGTGTTAGAAAACATGCGAAAATGTGTCTATTAATTGAGTCCTTCAACAATTATTTTTTTCAATTTTTTTGACATTCATGAATTTAATGGTAGCTTGAGATCAGGCTAATTTTGAGTGAAGAGAATTCGGGTATCCTATTTAAATAGTATTTACAAAATCGAAGTTGCATTCTATTCTTAATTGGATGGCTTTGCAGAGCCGTTTTCTTGTTAAGATGTAAAGACTGCTTTGTTGTCTGTTTGTCTGTCTTGAAAAACAACTTAAGAGGGTAGGTTTTTAGAAAGCTGATTGTGGACAACTCAGCTATTTTGGCTGCCAACACACCAGAGGGATGAGATACCATCCAGAGGGACCTAGACCGGCATGAGCAATTGGCTGAGGAGAACCTTATGAGGTTCAGCAAATTCAAGTGCAAGGTCTTCTTCTCTCGGGAGAACTGATGGTGGCATTTCAGTATCTAAAGGGGAGCTACAGGAAAAAAGGGGACAGACTCTTTAGCAGGGTCTGTGGTGATAGAACAAGGGGAAATAACAGCAAGCTTAAAGAGCGTAGATTTAAGTTAGATATAAGGAAAAGTCTTTTACAGTGATGATGTTGATGCACTGGAACAGGTTGCCCGGAGATGTGGTGGTTGCCCTGTCCCAGGAGACTTTCAATGGAGGCTAAATCAGACCCTAGGCAACCTGATCTAGCTGTGCGTGTTCCTGTTCGTTACAGAAGAGTTGGATAGATGTCCTTTACAACTCTATAAGATGCAAGAATGTTTATATGTGGACATAGGAAGTGAAAATAACTGTGAGGAGTGAATAAGAGTAGGACTGGATAGTTAGATCTTAAATCAGGGTTTGGAGTCAGAGTATGGAACAATTGTCGTAACTTAACAGAAATAAAAAGTGACAGATAAGAGGGTAGGTCTGTGGAAGGAAGCTCTTGTGACTAAACCAGTAAAATTACGATGTTCCAATAGTGGTAAGTGGAATTCAGGGTGAGCTGGAAGATTTGAAACAGAATTTGCCAATGATAATGATCAGAAAGAGCTCAGTGGCCGTATGGGTTGCTTCTGTAGAAGATGTTAAGAAGTTTATATGAAGAGAGGGAAAAAACAGAAAGCATAGAGAATATGGAGAAAACAGATAATGGCTTAGAGAAGTCAGAGAGAGGGAGGGACTGAGGAACATACTGTATCTAGTGAAATATTTTGAGAGTCTTTATTTGGAAATTCAGTAGAACAGAAGAAAGTTTTCAAACTTAAGTGTTAAAGGACAATGTTTTATTTAAAAATTACTTTATTTCTTTTAAAAATTGAAGGATCAACTTGTGAAATGTCTCATTTGGTTTTGCACTATGGCGCAATTCAGTTAGGCTAAACTCTGAATGTTTGTTTAATTTTTTCTGTATTTCCTCATTTCTTGCGTATGTGGGAATGTATAGTTTTAAAAACACATTTTTTTACGATGATATTTTGGACCACCATCTGGTATTTTACTGACCACAGATTGAGCAACTTTGTCCTAGAGTGTAGTTCCCTTTTATGTCTGGAAGAAATTAAAGGCCCTTAAATCTTGCCATTCCTCAGCTATCAACAAAAATCTATGAAAGCCACAAGCCAAATGTCTTGTTTCCTTCAAAGGGCTAGTCCACAAAAGCTCACATCTAACTGATGCTTGCTAAATGACAGTATGGTTGATTAAAAGATTTAAAGTCTGCTGAAGAATGGTGTGGATATGAGGGTGGTTCCAAATTATGGGATTATTACATGGTGAACTGAGAGAAAAGAGGAGGAATTCTGTAAAAGACTATAGATGTGCCAGCAGTTGTATACTTTCATTTCTGCTTTCTTGTTCATTTTGAGTATTTTGCTTCTCCTGTTCCCTTTGTATCTCCTTTCTGATGCACTTTACTTATGGATGCAGGAAGTTCTTCATCAGTGCTCTAGCACTGATCAAAAGGTGTATGTAGAAATCAATGAAGAGCCTAGCTGGATGCATTATGATGCATTTTCATAGAATCATAGAATCCTTAGAGTTGGAAGGGTCCTTTAAAGGTCATCTAAGGGTTCTGTGATTCTGTGAAAATGCATTCTAATGCATTCAGTTGGGATCTTCAGAGGCCTTCTGCTTCTGTTCCAGGTTCTCTGGCTGGAGGTCACTTCTTAGTCTTTCTTTGTCTAAAAGTAAATAAATAAAATATTGGCCTTTCTGCAGTGAGCATATGGGACCAGTCTTCGTTTACGTGGACTTATGTTGTATGTCTTCCAGTTCTGCAGCCAAGACAGCTGAGTGTGCAAGAATTTGTTATTCAGTATTGCTTCACCAAAGAGAACTGCACTAACTAAAATAGAGATTGTGAGATTGATAAGTTATTTTCTTTGTGTATACGTGAATCAAAGAAGGCTTGAGGGCATTTTCTAATTGATAGATTTCTGTATCTGTTCCTGGGAGACATTCTTTCAGAAATCATTGAGATGTATCAGATGTATCAGAATATGGATAACTAATCTTTTAGTTGTTGTTGCAACTAGCTTTCCAGGTAGCTTGAAAAATTTGGGTATTGGGGCTCTTTAAAAACTCTTTGATCTAAAGCAGTTTAAGTCACTGCAGCTTTGCCAATTAGCTCCCCTCTTGGAAATGCAGTAATTTTCTGCCAACAAAAATTCATTGCTTGACTCTGTGGTGTGAATAAAGCCAACAGAAGTGGGGGTTTTTGTTTGTTTGTTTTGCATAATTTGAGTACATCAAGACTTTCTTTCCAGCACAGCTAAGTTAGTTATTATATGGTTTGTACTTTATGGCTGACATTTCCAGCTGGTATCGTTTTTCTGGCAGAGGTTTATGAAGTAGACAGGCCTGGGAGGGCCAATCCTTGAAAATTTCATTTATGAGTTTTTGTTATGGACTGAATGAAAATGCAAAGGGGGAAAATAGTGCTGTTAACAACCATCAAATACTTAAGCTAGTCTTGCAAGAGTAGCACAGAAGTACAAATGTGGTTAGAATCTCCTTTTTTTTTCTTCCCAGTTTCTGTTAAGTAAGCAAACAGAGAGGATAGTTCTTTCCCAGATCATACTTTGGTTGTTAGGGCTCCAGGTCTGTCTCGCTCCAATTTATAGGAGGGAGATGAGGTTCTTTAATATCTGTATACCCGGTGTGAGATTAAGAAACAACGGTTCATATGTTGTTGCATCCAGTTTATTACTAAGACCTAATCAGGGAGACGGGGAAGGGAAGGAGGGCGATAGAAAAGATGGAAAAGAAGCAGGAGTTGCGTAAAGCGGGGATAGTCACCAGCAGGATCCAGCAGCGTCCCGTTGCACGGCGTTTGAAGGTCCCAGGCAGAACGCAGCAGAAGACGGGGAGCAGCAGCGTGACCGGCCTTGGGCAGCAGGCAGGTAGACGAGGAAGTCGAGGAGCAAATCCTTGAAGCAGCAACAGCGGTCAGGCAGCAGGCTCAGGAGAGTTCGACAGTATGCAGGAATCACCTCAATCTTCAGGAATCCCTCTATCTTCCGGAATTCCTCTCTCCTTCATGAGGAGTCTGTTGTCAGAAACCTCCGTTCTTCTTGAGGAATCTCTTGTCAGAAACCTATCCTCGTGGTTTTCAGTTCCTCTTTTATCCTCCTTGTTCTCCTGCCTACGTGACAAGGATGGGCTTCGAGCAAGAGTCACTGAGTACCCTCTAAGATGGCCCATCATCCTGAGATAGGTCCACACAAAGGAGCACTTCACAGCTATTTAGCTGCAGTTCATCTCGCTCTCGTCGCCCCTGGCCTTGCCCATCTGCGTTTCCCCAG